CAATAGTCGAGCGAAGACCTGCCATTTTACCTTACGTGAGTGGTGTTACAGACAAGATCGGAAAAGTTCTCAGGCGTGCATCTATCAAGACCTATTTCAAGCCCCTGAGGAAGATTTCTCAGTTCCTGAGACCCGTGAAATGTAACATCCCCTTATAGGATGCAGGAGTTTACAAGCTTGACTGTGAGTGCGGTCTCTCTTATATTGGACAAACGAAGCGAAGTATTTGTACCCGCGTTAAAGAACATATAGCTGATGTCAAACACTGTCGCGTAAACAAGTCTGCAGTCTGCGAGCATATTATGGATTTACACATTTAATGAAGTTTGACAAACCCCAGGTCCTTGCAAAAGAATTCCGTTATTTACCCAAACATCCTAATTTCAATAAGGAAGATGGTTTCTCCGTACCACCAGTTTGGGATTCAGTATTGCCTCTAATGAAAAATCCCAAACAGACATAAGACTGCAGTACTAATTAATATGTTTTAGTTTATTTTAATTTATATTATTAATTAATAACAATAAATTGAACTTAATAAAAATTCATTCAATAAAATAATTTGTAAAACTTAATGCGTGCATTGGAATGTTTTCTTTGTAAAATTAAAAATAAGTTATTTAATTAATAACTATTATAACTATAGTGAAAAAATAGGGTGGTTTGCATTAATATTGGACATAACTGGTTGAAGACTGTACCACCTCAGTCAACCGTGACCATGGGACCTGTAAAGGGCCCGAAACGTCGGTTTGTTTGAAAAAACAAATATACGCGATTTAAATCCGGAAAAATAAATATTTTGTGAGAGTGGTTTTGTGACTTGAAGTAAATGAATTTGCTCTTGTATTAAATATTTCTGTCTTGTAACTAAAATACACTTTTGAGACTTTTTTTACTATTATCAAGTAATTATTCTCTAGCGTTTATATGGAGAGGATCGTTTTGTTGGATTTAATAAATTTGTCTTCATAAAAAGAATTTTGTCTTTTTCTAAGTAATCTGTTTTTACCGTGCACGTGTTCTACTGTCGAGAGGGCGACCAACTATCTCAAGGAGGCGTAGGGTTCCTTGTCAACAAAGTTCCCCGTAACAACGTGCAGGAGTTATCCAATGTATGGATCGTATTCTAGAACTCTACTCAATGCTCAAGTCAGGATTCATGATCAACCGTGACCATGGGACCTGTAAAGGGGCCGAAACGTCGGTTTGTTTGAAAAAACAAATATACGCGATTTAAATCCGGAAAAATAGTTTCATTTCCTATAAAATATTTATTTGTTATTAGAAATGTCCGATTTTGATTTGAAAAAAAAAAAAAATTAAAAATTGAAAGGTACTTCATTATAATTATAACTGAAGCTTTATGTTTTCTAATATTAAAAAGGGTAAATTTACAGGGTTATGGACCCAACAGTATGTCTCACTGGCGTGAAAGCACACGGTTCAGTGACAAACCTTAAAGTAGCAGATATAGGACGGAATCTTCTCAAATACTTGAGGACCATTCAGTGCCGTATAAATGCTACAGCGACAGAAAGCACTGACAATTCCAAATATGTATATGAGATAACTTTATACTATTGAAGTTAACAAAACGATAGCGCGTTTCAGAGTACGAGAGTACTCGTACAACTAATGCCATCTAGCAGTGGCGTAATGGAACTAATTGCATGTTAAAGTTGTGCTTGTTACAAGTGTAGTTTGATTTCATGCTGTAACCAAATTACTTAAAGAATATACTCTAGCTAACCTCTTGCTTTAAGAATATACTCTACAATTTAGAATATTAATCTGAATAGAAAACTACTTCTTTTTTTGTTTAAGAATATATTTTCTTAAAATACACCCAAGAAATTTTGAATTCATTTAAGATTATTTAAATTTGATGTTAGACGTAAAAATTTGTTGATGTAAGTAATGTCCAATTAATTGATTAGAAATGAAATAAAATCTTGAAGTGAACGTATTTGTCTCAAAGTTAGAATAAAGTTAAGAGTAAAATTGTATTAGAAAAAGATAAGCAGTATTTTTGTAATGACAATATTTTATTACTTTTAATAAATAGTTTTTCAGAATTAGCAAATATTTTGAGAAATTGCTCTTTCTTATTAGTAGAAATCCTTTTTTTCTGTGTGGCCAGATTCTAGAATAGTCGTGTCCTCCCCCTGTCTTCGAACTTCAGACAACCCTATCACATGCGAACTTATTTTCTCTAGTTCCACCTCGAGTTGCATCAAACTTTCGTCCAGCCGCAGACTGCGTCTGTTGTACGTTGCCAAGGTCAATTTGTGGCAGCCTTCCGTAACCCGGTGATTCTTCGCACCCCCTGTCTTACCGTTACCGAGGCCGCTGCCTTGGCCCGGAATAGTAAAACGGCCGGGAACTGGGGGCCGCTTCTTACTTGGCTTTGACAATTTGGGGGTTAATGCCCATACTCACCACGCTGGGCAAACGGGTTGGTGAGCGCAGAGCCAAGTCTGGCGTCAACAGCGCTGCTGTCCGCCGCTGACCAGGGTACTTAGGACTCGGCCTGTAGATGGATATACCGCCATCGGTTTCGGTCGCCAGAGCCTCGTTCGTTTGTCTGCAGGTTGCACCACGTGCAGGTGAGGATGACTTTTTGGGACATTAAGTTGGTGTTTTGCCGCCACACACCCCTCATATATTTAAGTGGTTGTAAATAGTTTTTGCCCTCGACTACGGGCATTATTGTGTTTTAACCCGATTTAAGCCCGGCGTTAACAAAGCGCCGGATTGAAACCCGGGTGCTTGCCCATCTCTGAATGGCAGTACTTCCCTGGACGAACTTTTTCCCAAGGAGCTCTGCTACTACTAAAAACGAAATCTGCTGAATTGTAAGACTTCAGCACTTACCTAACCAGAAATACATAATTAACAATGACTTAATTATTTTCTACGTACTAATGCTTCTACCAAAGCTGAATCACTTATCATCACTTAAGTGAGACGCCGACATGTAATATATTCGATAGAGCCCGAAATTATCTGTATTATCAAATTGTTTTTGTAATGATAACTTTGATATTTTTTTACCGGAAAAACTGTGATGGAATTTCTTGTGTTAATATATAAAAAAAGAACTATTTTGTTTAGCGAGACTGCGAACGAGGCTGTAATTTCATATTTCAACTTTCTTTTAGTGTCCATTATACTTCGAAATAAAAAATGAGTATTCAGTACCTTTGAATACCTAAATGTTAATTTTCACCTCAACATACCACAAACGACCATGGCCTTTCTAAAAAAGGAGAACTTTCCATGCGGTTGTCGGTGGTTTGGCGTTCGATGGGCGTTCGCAATACCTCTACAGTAGTAATACACATGGAGGGCTTAAACCCATCTCCAGGATTTCTTTCGATCCTTCGAAAAACTTATAATCGCAACACAGATATTACAGAGCGCGTTTATGATCTATGAACATGTTTAAGTCGCGGCCGAGTGGCAAATTACTAATTTAATCACGATATTTGCCTTCGATTACCATAATCACTCGATTCCGATCTAATTACTAGGTTTTATTTAATGTGGTTTGTAGGTCACCGCAGTAGTCGTCAATATTATCTTCTAACCATTATAATAAAAGCAATATAAACATTTTAAAACGATAAAATAGCATAATAGGAATGACATTGCTTTAATATTGATGAACAAGGAGTGAATAAGTTCTATTGTATTTGGGAATTATACTGTTTAATTGCCTTGATTTAATTTTAATTTATGGAAAAGACTGACTGCGGCAAAGGACTTTTGACCTGCTTCCTGGGGCTCAAAAGGGTGTCCGGACTATAGAATTATTATTATCCAATGATTATTATCGATCAAAGCCTATGAAAAACAGTGCGAAGGCCGAAATCTTTGAAAAATTAGAACTTTGTAGCGTGTAACCTAAAAAAACGATTAATAAATAACAGTGAATCAACCAGTCACGGTATTATATATACGTGTCGCCAATTCGATATTATCTATTACAATCCATAGATAGTTTGTTTTTTATTCTGTGTGTTATCAGTTCATCATGGGATAACCTCTAAAACATTTAGTGTTAGGTAATTATGATAATTATTAATAATTATGAATATTCAGTACTAATACCTCTGTGAAAGGTAACATCGCGAAAATGTGAGAAGTCCCCAACTCGCTTTCGCTGGGCCTAAACCTTATCTTTAGAGGCAACTGGCGAACATAATATGAAGGTTTCATGACGATGAACCTATCCTATGACAAACCTAACCACATTTATTATAACTACAACAACTACGACCAACATAGATAAGTCTAATTTTAATGGAAGATAGTTGAAACAAGATTAAATAAAACACGTTCATGACAATATAAAGCCCAAACAAGTGAACAATACAACTAACAGTTAGTTACCAACATTTCTTATTACACGTAATAAACTCGTATAAAATAAGTTGTACTCTAGCAACAAGTTTATTTGCTTAGAAACTGGTTATCATTCTGTACGTGGTTTATTTGTGTTTACATTTTTATCTGCAAAACTGTAACTTGCATATTATTATGTTTATTCTTTTATGTAATTAAATTCGTTTCTGTAACGTGTTTCCGAAATGTTGTACAGGATTATAACGTATTTTGAAGTCAATTTATTTATTTATTTATTGTATTAAATGTGTGGGTTTGAAGTAAAGTTGCTAACGGTACGAATTAAAACTTCGTTTTAGCTTTTCAATGTTTTTAATGCTATTATGCCATTTTGGTTTAAAATCATTATGTAAACCATTAAACTAAGATTTTGTTTTTGTAATGGCATTGTCGTCGACATTAGACGTCTTATTTTGAGTGTATTCAAGATAGCATCGATTTGTGCAAAACGACTACATTAATAATATTAAGAAAAATCTCAAATGGATTCTCCTACCATTATGTTAATTAAATACCCGTCAGTCTATTACCTGTTGTTCTTTTCTTCAATAGTTTTATTAGTAGATATTCAATTCATAGTTGAAATTTACCTGATTGGTGAGGACATCAATGACGACATAGGCGAGGTAGACTATCTCCTCCTCATCGGAGCCGAGCGCGGCGCCGCCCAGGCCGGCGGTGCGCACGTGCAGGGCACACACCCAGCCTCCGCTGATCATCGCGCCATGCACTCAAAACTACCAACACGAAACTCCCTTCAACAAAAACACTAATGTCTCACGGAGGGTTCACCTACTTAGGCATCATCTACCAAAACCGGGCGCTAATAAATCTATGACGACTGGAGCTACAGAGATCACGCACTGACCATACAGATGAGGAATTCTAACGGGATATGTCCTCAACTATTAATGATGGAACTGTACAAGTACACTTACGATTCGACGCTTAAAAAAAGTCCACCGAAATGTTTGTGTATAAATGAGTCGAAAGCACTTTTTTAGAAACCCGACGGTTACTCAACAGAACAAGAACTCGCGTGTGGCGCGGACGCTGTTTTACCGTTTACCGCTACTCGTCTACGTAAGCCGTTTCCGCTACAGGTGAAAATCTGGAACTCACATCACAGCATTTTGTTTGGAACACGAATCCAAATAACCTAGTCTATTCCAGTCACAAAGTACTTTTTGGCGATCGGTGTCAATGAACGATTTCCAAATTGAAATTTTGTAAGTTCCACGGCGCTACATAAACACAATTTTTTAAACACTGCTTTCCGGCGAATCTAAGTCCGATAATTCGAATTTGTCGGTTTTATACAATATTTTGAGGAATTTAAAAAAGAGGTTGTATGAAACGAGCGTGCCTGTCGGGTCGGCGAATCGACTGCCGCTCGCTGCCCCCCTGTTGGTTGACACTGCGCAGGTATGGCCAGGTGAGCGAGGCGACGCGACGTTGCCAAACCGCCATTATCAATGATGACGAGATAGCTGCTCCTACCTCTATATTATAAAAATGCAACACCGTTGCGAACGTTATAAAATGCTGAGTTTGTATTTAAAAAATTCTTAACTTGCGCTTTGAAGCGTCAATGAAATTCGATATCCATGAAAATGTCGAACTCTATGCGGCTTAGTTTAATTTTGATGAAAATAACGTTTGACGTTTTGTTTATTCCCAAAAATCAAATTAATGATTCGGTTAATTGTTGTCGCGGTTTATTGTAATTACGATTGACATTGATGACGCACAGGTTGTAAAATTGCATTAACACAAATTAACCCAATAAAAACATATGCTAGGTAAATTTCAGGCAGGTACACAATAAAAATTATTTATTAGGATGGAGATTCCGTAAAAAGTATACTTACTGCCGCTGTCGTTACTTGAAAGGGCGCATGTGACATTAAAATAAATGTTACGTATGCTTACAATCACAGACATATATCTAGTATAAATCTGTGCTTACAATAATAACACGTTATTATTCTAAGGTATGTTCCCGTGATCAGTATTAAAAGACCGATTTGTCACAATTTTTATTTTTTACTACTTGGATAAAGTATGAAGTTACCGGAAGAGAAAAGTAGGTAGTTATTTTCAAATTAATTTCTTTAAATAAACATTGTTTTCTCGACTTTGACTTTTTGTCACATACGCCCTTTCAACTAACCGCGGCAGTATAAGTAAGTAAAAATATAGTTACATAATATGATTTATCTAATTTACTTTCACCCTTCATGAAGTAACAATAGAATTTTTAAACCTATGTTACCACATTTTCAAATTGTAAACGGATACAGATATTTTATAAGAAAATAAAAACAAAATCCCCTTTTATAAAAATGGAACGGAAAACACATCTTCGACCTTCAGTTACAGGTTAAAGTGAATAATAAATCAAATTGGTTTCAAAAGTATAACAATTTAAAAAACAAAGTCAAGTATAACATAAACAACAAAAGACCTAACATAGTACATTGGTAATAAAAAATTTCCTTGAAAGAAATTCGTCTACACTGTAGAATATAATTTACACAATACATATATTATGTATTATAGCCTAAATGTGGCTTAAATTATGAAGCTCGTTTTTAATAAATGCTACAAAATATAAAATTGTAGGTATGTTGTTTTTAAACAATCGGTTAAAACAGCGGAAAAAAATTAAGAACCTGCATAATAATAATAACACAAGAATACAAAAATAATATAGCAACTTTTTACAAGATCAACCTTTTCAAAGTGACACGGTTCAAAGTCGTGACACTTTTTGTAAACTAATGCTTGTTGTTAATTTAAAATGTAGGTACCTGTTGAATTTGTATGCCTTTTTACTTTTGTCTTTTAATTTTCGTCACTCTTTTTTTGACTTTTAAAATTGGGGCTTTTTTACTTTTAATGTTTTAATATTTGCGCCTTTTATTCGATTGATACGGAGTTTAACTTCTTTTGGTACCTAATAATAGCTAACAATAATACCTAATAATAAAGCAGCAATATAGAGCTCCTTGTGAAAGAGTTCGTCCAGGGAAGTACTGCCGCCTTGCTTATTTTTGCCGCCAAGCAGTAATGTGAGCATTACTGCGTTTCGGTTTTGAAAGGTAAGGTTGCTGATGTTGGTGTATTTACAGGCACATAGAACTTATTAACTTATGTCTCTGGGTGACGGGTGCAATTGCAGTGCCATTAAAAGCTTTGTGATTTAAATGGATATGTTTATGGGCAAGCGTGTCACTGACCACCAGGTGCACGACTTGTTCTTCCCGTCATTTGGTACGATAAAAGATACTATTTACTAGATTTGTATTTAATGTTTAAGGTATTGTAGGGTAAATTTTGCCAGCGCCACAAGGACGATTGGTTTCCTCATTTTAAAATAGGTGTTACCTATGTGCTTTTTAATTACATTTTTTTAGACGACTTCGAAAAATGTCGTTAATCCTCGCTAGAACTTAACCTTCCTGTGTATTACTTCCTTTATCAGCAACTTACAAGACTTTAAAAAAATATATTAATATTGAAAGCCATAGTAGTATAATGGTTTGTTTGACCTACTGCCTCTCAAGCAAACGCCATGGGTTCGAATCGGCCTCTGAGTTTCTTGGAGTTTAAAATTTACCATAAGCTTTTCGGCGAAGAAAAACGTTGTGATGAAACTTGCACGTCGAAGAAAGTTCACAACCCTCAGAAAACGTGTGTCGTGTGGAGTCCCCAACCCGCATTAGACTAGTTGTTGCAGACCATGGCCTAAACCATAGGTTGGCAAACTATTTGGCTCATCGCCCACAAGATAAAAAAAATTTCAACGTCTACCACCAGAAAAAATAATTGAAAACAAAAAATCACAAGGAAAAAAAATATGTATATCATGTAGTGTAGTTTATATAGGTAATATATAATAATTCACGTTACTTTCAAATGCAATAGCACTCCCTGGACAACGCCCCCAATTGCTATCGAGGGCCCTAGGACTCTTCAGCGCCCACTGAGAGGCCATTGCGGGTGGGTCCACTTTGTGAAACTATGGCCTACTGAGAGGAGACCCGTACCCAGCAGCGGGAAGTATATATGTGTTGATGATGAATTCAATGTTTCTCTTGGTGTGTAACTGGTAGTGGTAGTTTATGAACAAACGTTGAAAACATCCAAAAATATTTTGATTAATTATTTCTTACAAACGTCGTTTTTATTTCAAAAATATTATGTTTTTACTAAAGTATATTTTGTAATTTTGGATAGGTAATTATGATGCCGAGGTGAAATGTGGTTTGACCTTTTTTTTATACCATGTAATACTGTATTCAAGGTCGTAAGTAGACGTGCTAAATATGAGGATAATAAGACAAAAACATATGCATAAATCAAGTTCCTTAAATATTATCAGATTGTTTTGTTAGGGCGTGACGTCCCAGGTACGTATGTTTATTTTATTTCGCCACTGCTAAGCCCGGTGACATTGATATTCTAGTCTTTCCAGCTCTGTATCTCATGTGCAACTTTGGCAAATAAATTATTAGAAACAGTAGGAAGGAAAGAAAGTGCGGGTGTTCATAAAAAGCGAAAAAGACTTTGTTGGTTTTGCGTCTGAGGTCTGTTAGAGTGTTTCGCTCTTGTTGTATGGATTCCTTTTAAATAAGCGTGGGACTCCCTTGCACGGTTTAGGTTTATTTGGACTTTCGAGTTTCCTAATTGTTATCTTTTTAAGCTAATGGCTTTATAGCCAACGTCTTTCGATTAATAAATGAAAACGACGACACTGAGCCAAATAGAATGAATATCAATATTGCCAGACTTTTTTTTTGTATAATGAAATTTTAGACGGTATCAAAAATTTTATTATTGATAAATATAGAAACTAAATTACAGCTATTTTTTCTTTCATAGCCGCCAACTAAGGAAACCCTATATCGCGGGTGCCATGGACACACATTTAGACAACCACCAATTACACCCAAACTCACGAGAGAAATAAATGTAGTACATACTAATATTTCTCCCGGCCCGGGAGTCGAACCCGGGACCTCTGCATTGCAGTTCTGCACGGAAATCGTTCGGTCGCGGAGGCAGTTAGTACCTATTTGAGATATCGAAATAAAATTATACTGGAAATAACTCGGCAATCCAATGACATCACAAACTAGACAACCTGTGTATTTGCAAACCTTATGCTAGACCTACATTTTCACATTTAAGTGTTTTGTAGGGAATGATCACCCAGTTCAGCAACGAAAAATATAAACTGAATTATTATGAGGAGGGAGCATACCTAACCCTCATAAAGAGAGTGTTGTCATTATAATTGTAAGTCAATGGTTGTCATTAATAAAATTAATCACAGTTATCATATAATTAACAATTGTACGTAAAATGTTTGCTACTCTGAACGAATCCGAACGCATTGTATAACTATAAAATAAAATGATCAACACACTCATCAACTCAGATCCCATAAAATCCCAATAGCGCACGCGCCGCCCACGATCTGCTCGCTCATTGGCTACCCAGCAAATCCAAAATGGCCGCTAAACTCTCGAATTACCGGCAAAACTTTCCCGGTAGCGAATGACCTATTTTGTTTATGACAAATTTTAAATATAGGGATTGGATTTTCGTTCCTGCCTAAGTATATAGAATGGAACAGTGGGCCATATTGTAGCGACACACAAACAGTTCTCGTTATTTGTTGAAAATTGTACCTACACCTCACATAATTTTACGTGTTATAGAAAAGTAATGGTTTATATAACTCAACTCGTGGCGTGTCTAAATAAAAACAACACAGATCTGTTTATGATTGTAATAAAAATGTTTCAAGTAGGTAGGGTATTATCATTTATAAAAACCCTGAAATTACACTACCAAATGTAAAGGTCTAGAAGGTTGTTAATCACTTAATTTGTGTTACTACAAAAAAAAACGAATTTTTTTTTATTATTTTGTCCTCACATTGCGAACCTGCTGCGGAGGCATCAAGGCATCGCTCAAAATATAAACAGCTGTTTTTATTCAACCTGCTGGTACAACTCTTAGAAAGAGACAAAAGATGACTACTAACGCAAAACAGCAAGAAACAGATAGTTCACCGTTGCCATGTTTATTCTAAGTACAGCGTCGAATGCAGCGTGTGAACTCTTCCGTGAAAATTCAATAACAGAATTAATGATACACTTGTGTGGCGAGTCTACAGTGCCAATGTACTAAACAACACAATAAAAATTTGATTTCTCTGGGCCCATTCATAACGCACAAAACATTAATCAACCTTTGAACTTTCTAGTTGGGAGATTCGCAGCAAACTTATTGATATATTGAGGATTTCTTACAAATGTGATCACAGATAAGATTCGTAGGCACGTAATACGTGTTTATAACTTTTGATACTTAACTATTCCAATGACAAATCATTACGTTAAGCGTTTTTTTTATTAAGAGATGTGGTTGTAAGCGCAGTGTAAGAAAGAAAATGCTACAGAACCTCATTCATTAGTGATGATTGAAGTTGTTGGCCGACAGATGGCGATACGTGTTAGCCGACATATTGGATAGTTTATTGCTGTTCAATGTTGGCCGTTTTTTGCAGTTGACCAGCCCTCCTTACTTGCCAATTTTATTATATACCTGTAGATTATAAGACTTTCGCGATGTGTCTACACATAAATACTGAAGCAAAACTGTAACTAGCTTAGGTATAATAGTCTTTGAATTTTTCACCCACAAACATGTTTTAACTTTGTTAACGATAGTAAAAAAGAATTTGATTGTTTTGTACAGGAGTCAACTTATGTAGCTTTTTAAAATATAAATAATATCGATTTCATGAAAATAGAAGGACTGTCAACCTATATACGTTCTACTTGGTATTGTATACAGATCTCAGGGTTTGGGACTTTACATATCTTTAAAGATTTTTGTCATTCTCAGCAGGCGTCATAACGATTCGAAAAAAATTAATGAAAAAATTACCACTAGGGGGAAAAGTGTAAAGATGATCCTTTTCAATTGTAGCGAAACTAGTAACGTCATCTAAATATTTTCTTCGGTAAAATGTAGTCTCAATGTGCCCTGTTATCAGTCAATTCGTAATGAGTGACGAGTTCATGTTTGTGGAAAAAAAAAATTGAGTGTATTTGATCTAAAGTAAAGTCGATTTAAAGCTACTTCCATTCTAAGCATTCAATTGCTAATTTTTGTGTTGGTGGCTTTGTATAATGCTCTATTAACAGATTTAAAGGCGTGGTAACAGTAGACAGCATACAGGTTATTTTGCCGAACAAAAAATGAAAATAAGTTAAGTAAGTGGGGATCATCTTGTACTGTATACACGGACTTTTTTTAATTTGTATGTTTTTCTCAGTACTGAAACCATTTCATTAAATAGCTTGCAATACGAATAAAATAGTAGAAGACTGGATTTCGTTTACATGATCGATCTCGATTAATAACAGATATAAATGCTTTTTCTTGTTTTAGACCAGGCCGCGTAATTGTAAAAGAAAAACCATTCGTGGTGGGTGGTCGGAAGATATGATCTAAAGAACTAGAGGCGTAAAAAGTAGGACGCCACATAGATCGGCAAGTAAATAGTTCGCAGTAGGTACGCGTTATGTCATTAAAAAGACGTGCTAAATGTAAAAATAAGGTCTGTCAGTTCAATGAAATATTTAGGTGAAAAAAAAAAACTGTTTTCATCAGATGTGTTAAACAGGAAATCGAGCTCGTAAAGTACATTAAAGATATGGAGACGAGGATGGATATCAACTTGCCGTTAAAAACAATATCGCCCACCCTTAGGAATCTGTGAAATATAAATTAATTAGGATTATTTGTTCTCGAAATTCCGTAACAGTTGTTTCATATACCTAGATTACATAAGTGAGGGCTTTGTTCAGTCCAAAAAGTTGCTGTTTTCAATTGTTTCTACCAAAACCTAAAAATTTTCCTAAATAGAGCCAAGGTGATCCCCTGGATCATCTTGCTCATTCCCTTAGGATCATTTCGGACACCCCGGTGTCCAAGACGATCCTTTAGTAGAGTTTTAAAAATATTAAAATATAATAATGAAAGACCAAAAAATAAAACGTTTTTAGTAAGACAACATGTAAATAGATAAATTTTCTAACATTGAACGCTTGTACATCTACTTTTAAACTGATATCTTTTAACTTACCACCATTCTCCCTTAAGGGCATCATCTGGTACACCTTTCCCCTACTTACAATAAGCTATTTATTATATGTTTCGAAATACGCTATGATTGCTAAGTGTGAAATGAAAGTCCCCAAAAATTGTTATACTGATACATGTTTTCCAATTAATTGATGAACAACTCCTGCTCAAAAATCAACTTTAGTTGTAGGTAACAACAGAAAAAGTAACTAATTAGAGTGATGAATGAAAGAGATTCGAGTTTTGTAGTTGAACCAATTGAAGGTTAGTACGTCGCGCGTCGTCGGTTGATATATCCGACAGCATATCTGTGCATTTATTGCGAACAAACTGGCTAAGATGACCAACATATCGACTGATAAATGTGGCGCTTTAATGCATTTCATAATAACCGTGGCGTACCTAGCGGGATGATCATTCGTAACCTGGAATTTATCGCAAAAGCATTATGTGGTGACAGGTAATTAATATCTAGTTGCTTAATGGTAAGCAGTTAGTTAAGTATCTACCTTATATTCTGCCTTAGACTGGTTTCAGAGCACTGCGGATTTATTTGCGGACCGTCCGCGCGGAGAACATTGTTTTGCAGTGACGCGGATTGCTCTGTACAGAACACGCTCTGCGTGAACTCCGCACACGCCACCCTTGCGTTTATTGTTGGTGACTGTATTCCGTGAATATCCGCAATACGTTAACTACTCGATTCAGAGCGCTGCGATTCTACGAATACGGATGGCCCGCAAGCGGACAGTCCATACGGACCGTAACGCACAGCTGTGAAACCAGCCTTTTTATGGTAAGCTAGGTTTAAGGCAGTCGCTGGACGGATCAGCTAGCGACTTCAAATTACGTTTCTTTAAAAATGTTTTTTCTTCTCGAGGCTACTAGGGGGACTATACAATTCACCGTACATTTATTTATGTCAACTATGGTTCATTTGTTTAGATACTTGACTAAATGTAAACAATCTTGATACATATTTTTATTGAAACATAATAATATACTTTACAAATCAATAGGTTTAAAAATAGGCATGCAATTTCATATGAAGCTAAATATTTGTATTTGAAGGTAAGTAAAAATCATTTTATAAATGTATATTTCATTAAGTAGACATATCAAGACTGTTTACATTTAGTTAAGTACCTAACCAAATGGACTATAATTATTAGGTATTTCCTTGGTGGCGGCCACTGGCGGTCGCTGGTGACAACTGTCAATGTAGCTCGTCTAGGTTATTTAAATTATTCCCGTTAAGGAAAATGCAATCATGTCTTGATGAAATTTTCTTTTGCTAGTGTTAGATCTATGGAAGCCTATATCAAGTCTTAATTGGTAGAAGTACCTACTATCATTAATATTCCATTATTCCATATGATATGTCCTTAAGTACGTCGAATATAATATAGGCAAGAGATAAGTAGATTTAAATTAAATAGGTCGATATTGCACGAACGCACTGTATCAGTCTACGTAACAGAACTAAATCTGCATTTCGTTGATGCATGAAGGTACAACGCCCTTTTATTACACGACTACTTCATAACTGTATCTGTACTTATTTATTAATTTTAGACTTGTTAATTTGCATTGTTAATTCTCATTTGATGATTACATATCTATGTAGGTAGGAATGCGAATGCACGTGTGTTTGTCAAATTCCCATTTAATTAGTGGATTGAAGATATCTGAAGACCTGTGATTAGTGTATTTAAAAAATGCAACGCTCATTATCATATCACCTCAATATCTGTGTATTATTTAATCAAGTTGGTGTAAAAGGAGTATATATACCTACTAGGTATATAATAATAAAAAAAGAGTATGATTTGTACTACTTGTATTTGTAAATTGTTGTTGGTAATCTCAGACTGGATACCTTATAGTAATTGTAACAAACAACTTAACATTTGTGTATTGCTCACGAACATTTGTGTTTATGATCCTTTCGCACAGCCGCAATACACATGCTCAATTCCTAACTCCTTTTATAATTATTACTTTTATATATGTTTTACCTACATATGTTTATGCCAATGACAAAATAAATAATTTATCTTTAAACTATGTATACAACGTTGTATGAACCAAGAATAAAACAGCTACTTACATTCAACATATCATGCCAATCTGAAATGGCGATTTAGTAATTGCAGCCTCGAAAGTAATGTGTAATGTGAACGTGACTAAATACAATATGTGTTTTGTACTTCGTTTACAATTTATATCTATTTAAAGTTTATTAATTTTTAATTTGAAACATAATCTACAAATAACAGATGCCTATTCTGTCTGAAGAATGTTTTTTTAATAATAAAATAAAATATTTATTAATTGGTGTTATTATTATGTATTTAGTTGTGATAGTTATAGTGTAATATTGTTTGTTGATGGTGAAAATAATTTCACTCGAATTGAAGGAGTTTAGTTATCCGCTCAATATCCTAACTGGACACGGCTGAGATAATTTGAGAGACGTAATAGTAGTAAATAATAATTTATTTTTGCGCTATTGCAGTAATTATTACTGTTGCTTTGCCTGCCAGTGTTACATAGCAATCGAAGGAAAGGATATTATGAATTAGATTGGCGTCTCTAGATATCGGTTACTACATCATAGATACGAAACTTAGAAAATTAAGAGAAAGGTGAATTAAGTCAGTTTTAAATATAATTGTAAGTCAATGGTTTTAAAATTCCCTGTTGGCCAAGTTGTAAACATCATTTCGAAAGCAAAGTTGTCAAAAATAACCATGCATGCATGCGCAAATTAAGAAAGGAAGAAAATTTTGAAAATTTGGGGGAATTATAATCTTGCCATATATTTGCTTATATTATTAACCTATTTTATGGAAATTTGTTAAATAATTATTGGAAAGCAAAAGTAATTTCATTTAATTAACTCCCAAAGTAACAACTTAGTGCTCCATTTTCAAGTAATAAAGTTTTTATCTAACAGTGTTATATAATCATCACACACACTAATCGAAGCTATTTATTTATCATTATTATCATCACCTATTTTTTCACCGCGTAATAAATATATTAAATATGGCAACATCATTAAAAAACAGTGGTGACAGATGTTTACGCGCCAAACAACAATGGTCGTTTTCTAACGTTTCATACAAGTTTTCTACATGTTTTTTGATATCTTTTATGAAAAATTTGCTATAATGTATTGTGGCAGTGCCACTTTATAGATTTACAACTCGTTTCTTTCAAAAATATCGTTTTTTGTCACAAATCACGGACTGATGCCGGAGACGTTAGTGCCACTTGGCGGGAGGACGATAGTTACTTCGTGATATTTGCTGTTTCTGTGTTCAATTGACTATTTTTTATTGTAAAATAAGTGTGATAGGCCATGGCTGCGACGACACCACGTCGTTCATCGCGGACACCCCATCAGCATACTCCCAAAATGTCGGAGAGAAAGAAGGGGTTATTTCAAGGTGTTGTTGAAGCTTCCAGGGAATCTTTAACGAAGCACAGGCAACTGACGGTGGTGGACAGCGAGAGTGAGAGTGATGACTGCGACCTAGGCATCATGGGGACATTAGATTCTAGTTCCTGTGATGAGACTGATCCAAGTGTCCCCAAGACTCCAGAGAGGACAGTTTGGCGTGAGTATGAGATATCACGACTATTCTCCATAGATTGACCTTAAGATGTAGCGCGTATGAGTAAAAGTATGCTGTAATTTTGCCATTATTACCTTACATATACATAATCTATGAAATTTTTGTGCTGTTACTGGTATTTATATCATTATTATCTTCTACTCTGTCTTCTACTACTTTGATCCCCTGCTGGGTTAATGTAGAAAACTATCTTTTCTATATTGTCTCAGGTCTGGGCGTTTGTGGTACCGTCATTGTTTCAGATTTTCATAACACAAGTGCTTTAGTTACTTACTTTAGGAATAGAGCTACATATGGCGCAAATATGTATTGTGTGGATACAGTTGCATTACTATGAACCTTAGTGGTTTAAAATGTGAATGGAAACATTGTTTTGTATTACATTTTAAATGATAAATAAATAAGAAAAGAAAAAGTGATATCTACTATTTATTTATATCGCGTTGCTTACTCAATGTTGTAAAATATTAATACCTATAGTAAATATTTATCTATGAACAATTAAAAGAAACCTTTAACAGCAAAGGCATGTCTTGTTGTGTAAATCTCTTTGATATTATGGTAATTTTAACTGTCTGTTTAATATGTAATATAACACGACATGCAACCGTGGGTGTTGACTCTATTATTGCAGTTTAAAATTAAATGAGTCTTAATTGAAATATAAATATCCAATTAATCAATGTTGAGGTCAAAATGTAGGTTAAGTAGCCTTTGGCATTTTTTTTTGTTCTGTATGACTTGGATGCTTAGATGATTGTTTGTTGAAATTATCAAAAAACGGACAAAATAATAAGAACTGGTGTCAGTGATAACTGTTTATTACGAAGTGATAGAAAACCTGGCATACAAAAAGTTTACTAATCTTTACTTTGTTTGCATCTGAGTGGGGCTTGGCCCGGATGCTTGCCGTACCCTGGTTTTTACAGTTGCTTCAGCTGTACCAAGCCCAAGCCTGATTGTGTATGGAGTACTGCTTTTACCTATGGGATGGCTCTGCTAAATACCAACTGGTCACCTTAGATCTAATGGTGACTTGGAATTAGTAGATCTATATTAGATATTCCATAGTCTATTTCAAAGATTAGTACCTATCGATAAACTTACTTTCCACATCCTACAGGGTTGATATCTTTCATAATTTATTCACAGATACAACAAGAAGCCAATCCAGAAAGCTGTTAATAGAAACTCAGGCTCTGAAGAACTTTATAAAATCTCCATTTACTTTAAAGAAATATCAGACTAGGTATTCTTGTCCCGAGAAATGCACAGGTTCACTATCTACTCCTGCTACACCACACTTACAGAACCATCCCGGGACTCCATCGTCTACTCATTCCTGTGCTAGTGTCCATACTACATCATCTACCTCAAGCAAGGCAAGGAAAAGTCTTGCTAGTCTCATAGCTGATACGGAAAGTTGTAGTAGCTCATTGAAAGATCTTAATTTTGATACTGATTCTGGAACAGACTCAAAAGAAAACACCCCGACAAAATCTATTCGTCGTTCCTGTAGGAGACAGAAATTGACCCCGAAATTTCAAAGCTTTAAAGGTGTTCTAGTAGATCAGAAGAAAAATATGTCACCTTTACATAACCCAGTAGTTTGCTTGACCAAAATGGACATGAATAACATGTCGCCTACGCAAATGTTAAAAACACCACACAATACTTCAGAAAATAATGCTTTGCCACCAAAACTTGGTCCTAATCGTCGTTCAGTAATACAGATTGACGAAAGTCCAGAGTCTTTGTCAGGAAGTGAGAAGAGTCACAAAAGGCTTCACTATGATAGTATGTCGGAAACTGGCCCAAATTCCAAATGCCCCAGACTAGATTCAAATGCTGTTCCCAAAGCACGGTTATCACTTTTCAACAGTGACCGCTTAAAACAGATACTTTCCGCTAAGTCATTTTATGGAAAAAGTAATCCAGATTTGAACACAAACGTGACTACGAAGATATCCCATGCTATTGAGCAAACCCAATCTCATCGAAGAAGGTTGTTCCCGTCATCATCGTCACATAGGCGTAAACGTAGACCAGGGCAGATAAATTTGGGCGTCCGTCATAGGATTCGCAAGCCTAAAATACATAAGAATAGAGTTGTTATTCAAGGATCATCCAATGTGAATGCGACACTGAATAGTACGGCTTCCAGTGGCGTAAAGGACGCGTCCATACTGAGCCAGGAGTCGTCAGGTCATGATGCTTCTCAAGAACTTTTGAATGGTAAGTTCTGTTAAAATAAATAAGATAGATTAACAGTGTTAAAATGATAAAATCTATAAAACAAAGGACTTAATATTGTGAACAAGGAACATTAATTTGAAACTAATTTCAGAAAAACTAGAACCCAACATTTATGCATCACAGTTTTGAGTAGTTCTATCAATTTACTATTTTAATAATTTATAGTACTTACCAAAGTCGTGGTAAATTTACAGGCACATAGGACTTGTCAACTTATGTCTCAGGATAGTGGGCGCAGAGACAGGGATTTTTTATTTGGGTCTTTTTTAATCCATTTGTTTTTGTTACCACTGGCAAAATATGTTAAATTTCATTTGTCGCCAGTGGCAACAACAGATCTTTTTATCCCATTTGTCACCTGGAAACATGGGAATTTTTTTCCCCATTTGTCGCCAGTGGGAACAAAGCCAGTGGTGACAACTGGGAATAAGCCCGTGTAGCTTACCATCAGGCGCACGATATGGTCGTCCCATTACTTGGTGTCACTTATTATTTAATAACAATCATAATATATTTATAATAAAGCATACAAATAAAAATTTATTACTCAGAGGATAGGCCAATTTTTCCATCAGTAATATTCAAAATCAACGTTCGTGTCGCCTTATTCAGTAGGTTGGTTCGCCGGCGATATGTCGCCAACAACTGAGGCCGGCGCGGGCGCGACTCAAAACCTTTAATGCGGTCAACTACGACCATGGAGCGTGAATTCACTCTGAAATATGAGTTAAAGAATACAAGGTTTAGGCCAGACAAACGTACCCACACACAATTACGTCCTTTTCCCTTTTGCGTATTCAAGGACCACACTTGTTATGGTCGTGACACACATCTTTTCTCTCAACAACGCGCGGTAATTTTTCATACAAATATAAATTTGCAATTCATTATTTATCATATACTAACGAAAATTTTGAACACATTCTTTTGAACATGAGTGGCAAAATAATTTGTTTCATTTCCAGAAAAAGCAGACCCATTTGACAAAGAAAAGCAAACAATAGAAGCTCTCCTTTGCCAGTGGACCGAAGAAGAAGTCCCAGAGTCAGAACTCAGTTACAAATGTCAACGTGAACTTCCTTGTTTCAACTCCTCAATCATGGAAGAGACTAGCCAGATCTTCCAACCAATCACAGCTGTGCCAGTACCTATACAGAACATTCCAAATAATACTGACGCTGTTATTATGGAGTTAGGAGTCCAGAAGTCAATTTTTACAGGAGATGGAAAGGAATTGTCAGGAAATGTCTCTACTCTATCTGAAAATATCACAGGTGTGGTACTAAATAGTGCAGACGTGGCCAGAAATAGCCCTGTTGTGGCTACAGATAATGTAGGTGTGACTGTAAACAGCCCAGGTGTGATGCATGATGTAGTAATGAGTGAGGAGAGATACACAGATAGACATGGGGTTGTGCCTAAGAGTGGACAGTTTTTGCCTGTTGAAGGAGGATATATTTTGGTTGCTGATAATGCTGAACATGGTAATTTGTATTTCTTTTTAAAATCTACACCTGTTGCGTAATAATAATAATAAGTCTTGGTACTTATATGTGTGTAATATTAAAATACTCACCAACACATAACATGAGCACTTACACACACTGATAATAAACTTGCACATATGTATGTACCAATATAAACACAAAGAAATTTTGTGTCATCTGTGCAGGAACTGAGAATTGCTCTTCTTGTATGGCGGTTCCTTACCCATTCTCGCCTCACTGCTGAGTACAGATCTCCTCTAAGGAGAGGGGCACCGTGCAGGTTGGGCATTTCCAGGAGTTTTGTGCCTTCAAAATTTTTTTACGTTTTTTTAAACATTTTACCAGCAGAGCTCCTTGTGAAAGAGTTCATCCAGGGCAGTACTGCCACCTTACCTATTTTTGCCGCCAAGCAGTCATGTTAGCATTATTGTGTTCCAGTTTTGAAGGGTAAGATGCTGGTGAAATTACAGGCACATGGGACTTGTCAACTTAGGTCTCAGAGTGACGGGCGCAGTGGCAGTGCCCCGCACATCTTTACGATTTAAAGCTCTGAGTGGCACTGCAACTTTTATGGATAGGCGTGTAGCTTACCATCAGGCGCACGACTTGTTCGTCCCGTCACTTAATATTATAAAAAAAACGTAGGTTCTTTTACGAGTATGTTTTCCATAAAGAAAAAAACTTCATATATTATTTCACATGTTATCTGAAACCGCATATTTGAATTCAATTTGGTCCTTTACAGTGCAAGAAGAACTACCAGACCTGGACGAAATCGAGCGCGAGCTAAAAATGTTAGACGAGCAGATCCTTCGCATGGCTCACAGCAACAACATTGATCCCGAAGTTGTCCTGGCATCCACAGAGAACACTGTATCTGCATCTGCTGCTGGTGAGTTGTAGGCGAGATTCTTTACTTGACCGTGTTGTGTGTTGATATGATATGGTATATAGGGCTTGTACAAGGACTTCTTCTTTATAATAATGACGCACACACTCAACATAGCCCCACACTATGGAAACCCTGTGTCGCGTGCAGAGAACGGACACTCTCCGCCCCTCCCTAGCTTTAGATACCGCACCACGCCCCGCACATTGCCGGTCACATTGACTGAACGACAACAAGGCTGCCGGCGAGCCGTTTTCGCGCGAAGACGGCTTTGATATTTGAATATAGTTTTCTTTTATTCATTACGAAACTTGTACGTTAATATAAAACATCATTTTACGTTACTATTGTATTATATATGAAAGATGAAACGAAGTAAGCTATAAAACTTATGTCTAGGACTAATTCAGTTATTGTTTTCTTCACTTATTTACTGCAGAGTAATATATATATATATATGTAAAAAATACAGATTTATTATATCAATATAATGAGGCGCCATGATGTCGTAGACAAGGTTTATCGAATTTTCAATTCGTATTGCCGATAAATATTACGAAAAATAAAAAAATAAAAATATTACGTAAGTAGTGAATACACCTAATTATTAACTAAATAATGCTGATCAACTTGGACACGCAATTTCAAATACCTTGGTTACCTTATTTAAAAGTACATGTCCAAAATATAACATTTTAAGGGCTTTTAATATATTTTTTTAAATAAATCTTATTATAAAAAATATATTAAAAGCCTCTAATTTACTCCTAATTACTGAATTAATGAAAAATATGATATTATATCGATATAAATACATAATAGACAAGTGTAATTATTTGGATTCTGGATTCTATTAATAGAATCATAGATAACAGATTCGTGTTAGCATTTTCGCTATGTTGCCGCTCTGATCACGTAACGTAATAGTGCAAGAAAGTGATGGGTAACCCTGCCACTTCACGCACACATTTGCTCGTGTGCAGATAGCGCCTTGCTGTATGTAGTAGTAGTAGTAGGTAAATAATTTCCGACTGTTGTTTGGAGTGTCCGGGGTGTGTCGCGGGTGCTATGGACACACACATAGACAAACACAAGTTACACCCAAACTCACAAGAGAAATAAATGTAGACCACACAAATATTTCTCCCGGCCCGGGAATCGAACCTGGGACCTTTGCGTGGCAGTCCTGGGACCTCGGCATGGTAACCGTTCGGCCACGGAGACAGTTAATGTAATGATATAAGCTCCATCGACGAATTTAATAATTCCGCCAATGTCGAGTTGAGGTACACACGCGTTTTTTACTCAAAATTTGACCAGTGAATTTCGACAGAAATCACTGAGAGGAGAATCTGCAACAACAGCGGATTTACGCAGACTATTACAGAAACAAATTGTTATTTTTAATAAATTTTCACAGGACATACACAAAGGGAGAGTGGACTAACGTTAGGAGAAAGTTGATATTAACGGGACGGGAGATTTTAGAAGGGAAATACTTTTAAATTACAATTAACTAGACGGCTTTTGACACATTGCTTCTATAGTAATAAAGAATATTTCGAATTTACAAATACTATTTAACATTATCTTAAATGGCAATTAACTGTACATAAGACAATACAGTCCATTACATTTGTATACCTGCTTGCAGGTTGAATACATTATACCTAAATTAATTTAAGATCTGTATATTTACTGAAGTCTGGCAAGTACACGTATTGTATAAAAAAAAGAAACACAAGAAATTACAAATAAAGGGACAAATACAAAATGCAAATGAACAATAAATAACAAACATTCAAAGATAATAGGGTTTTTACGTGTAACGCTTTATTACGGAAGTCTGTTTTTATTCAGCTGTCACTTAGCTTAAGAACTTAAATTAATTATTTGTTTGTTATGGTAACTATATTCTTACTAAAGCTAAGTAAAAAGCTTTTAATATGTCTTAATGTTTTTGTTCAGGGGTCAAACCATGGATTTGTGTGTTTAGGGCGTCGTCACATGAGCTACACGCTCTGACGTATTCCACCTGCTATTCTGCCCTCCTTGTCATAACTAACGCAATCGACATTATTTGTGAAATTCTGGGATCACCGGAACGAGATCTACAACCCCTCTAATCGGCTTTCTTATATCTTATTTAGTTTCAGTTTTATAGATAAGCAAAATAAGCGTAATTGACATTTTTTAAGTGGCAATAAAACGTCAGACGCAAATATGTTACTTATGACAAGAAGGGCTAGGCGGTATTGTGCAGTTGTCATGGTGTCGAAATGCAACTCGTGTGATTTGTATTTGTAATGAGTCAGTTTTTTCCAAGATTTTTTTTAAATATTGGTAAAGGTCTCTCTATAGAAAATATTTGGGGATGTAAGTATAGGGTTCAATCAACCATGAAGGGTAAGTAGAGTTTAATGGCAAACAATATAAACTAGTAAAAGCTAAACCTACTTTTTTATCTTTTCGGAAAGGGTTCTATAACACGTTGAAGGTCCAAGCTTATCTGTTCTGTCTTCAACAAACAGAATTATTTGACAATGTTATGTAGAAAAAAATCATAAAATATTCTTTTGTTGGCTGTTCGTAATTTGCATAATTGTTTTCTCACATAATAATTTAAAATTATTTGGATTCAAACACGATTCAGCATTTAGAGACGTAACTGTGAGTACGTTTGAAATTAATGTTTGTTCTTATTGTGTTTTTTGGTGTCCTTGTTAATTTAACATTTTAACCTGGGGGTCGATTCAGAACCTTACGATAACTCGGGTGTCGACCGATTCGATTTGATATCGCACGATTTCTTTTCATTTTTACTCACAACACCCGAATCGAACGTCAAACCCGTACGATTACTCCTCGAACTTCTCGACCGGCAAAGGCTACAAACATTATTCAAAACACAGTTATCGAATGAAAATTCCCGAACGTCCTATTGTTCACAAAGCAAGAATATAGTATGGAAATCTCTTATTATTTTAAATAATGTCTGGATTTTGTTCAATTTTATTAATTTATTTTAATGCAAGACTAATGCATTCCTATATTTTAGACCATTAAAGTCTTAAAAATGTATATAAAAGGACTTTCATTTTTCTTGTAATCTATTTCACCGACAAACTCCGTAAACGATGTTGGATAACGATGTCGTATTCTAATCCGAATCGAACATTTAACTCGAATGTTCTTAATAGCTCGGAAATCGCCCTTCGATTCGAGAGCGATATACAATCGAACGACTCATTTAAAATATCGAAGAGTTCTGAATCGGGGTCCTGATTGACAATTTACATTGATAACCCTCGTGATACGAAAATTTTTAAGGTCTATTTAATCTATTACCGACACGAACACTACAGTATTTCAAGGCCAAGAAGTAATAATGATATTTGTTCTGTCACGAAAGCACGTACATACACGCACACACACACGAACATTAATTCCTTCTATATTGAAATATAATCATTATAATGCACTCACTCATAGGGAAATCCTGTATCGTGGGTGCCATGGACATATACATAGACAACTACAGTTTACACTCAAAGTCATGAGATAAATAAATGTAGGCCATAGAAATATTCGAATAGAAATCGAACCCGCGACCTCTGCGTGGCAGACCAGCATGGTAACCGTGTGACTACAGAGGCAGTTAAAATAATAATAGATAGACAAGAACTTTATGCACTTCCATGACTACTTATTTACTAAAATGAACTAAAACTAATACGCAATAATTATATTAAACCACTTACAAATAACAGAAGGAACTTACAACTTTACGTAGAACTAATCATGGCAGTGAAAACGCTGGCTCAGCATAAACGCCGGGACACTGGTATTCTGCCAGTACTCTGTTAAGAGAGACGCCACTCGTCATCTCTAGACAGTCCTCCGGCGTTATCGTTTAATTTAAATAAAAAAGGTTATATAATTTTTATTATTTATTTTAATAATAGACAACCAGAAATTACACCATGAGAGAAATGAATGTAGGACATAAAAATATTTCTCCCGGCCAGGGAATCGAACCCGGGATCTCTGCGTGGCAGTGAGTGACCGTTCGGCCATTCGTTCGATAGTTCAGTCAGTTCGATAGTTGGTTGTAATCGACCTCGACGTACGTATCTCTATCATACAATATGATGCTTCCGTGGCCGAACGGTTACCATGCTGGACGGCCACGCAGAGGTTCCGGGTTCGATTCCCGGGCCGGGAGAAATATTTGTAGGCCCACATTTATTTCTCTCGTGAGTTGGAGTGTAATTTGTGGTTTCCCTAGTGCGGGGCCATGAGTGTTGTCGTGTGCTTTATATTGAGAATGTCCTTAAAAACGGCCAGGTTATTATAATAGTAACAACAATAAACGGCCACTTATGAAAATATAGGTATGAGTGGAGAAAGCGATAAAGGTATGTAAGGTGAGGTTCATAGTGCATAGGGCGCACTATAAGTTTCCGGAACTGGCCATTTACATAAACAATATTTAAAATGTAATTACAACATTTGAAAATGGAACTCTTTCGCTGTACAATAAGTTTGTTTCATCTGACTGTCACTTGTTTTTACATTGCGTCATTTTAGAAATTGGTTGTCGTACATCACCATGGATTTAACTCGTGAAAATTTTCGTAGTATGATTTTCTACGGCTTTAAGTGTAATTTAACAGCTCAGCGGAGCTTCGCTCGGCTTCAAATTTCTGCTTCTGCTTTTGGCGATGAAGCACCATGCAAGACGACTATTTATAGCTGGTTAGCGGAATTCAAACTCGGTCGTGAATCTCAGTGACGAATTTCGTGATGGTCGCCCGTCCACTGCTGCGAACAAAAAAACATTGATGCTGTGCGCCGTGTGATCAAAACAGACAGGCATTTGACATACCATGAGATTTGCCATGAGATTCGGGCATCTTTAGGCATAGGCATGAGTCAATCAATCCTACACAAACATTTGGGTGTGAAAAAGCTGTGCTCTCGGTGGATCCCACACAATTTGACTGAGGCTCAAAAAACGGATCGCGTCACTTGTGCAATGCCATGCTTACCAGATTTAACGAAGGGCATCCAATTTGGTTTGGGACATAGTAACAGGTGACGAAACATGAATTTATAGTTACGATCCCAAAACAAAGCACCAATCAAGCGTATGGGTCTTTCGAGATGAGCCGAAAGCAACTAAAGTGGCGCGCGTGCAAAGTGCCTCTAAGCGGATGATTTTTTTTTTTTTTTTTTAATAAAACTGGACATGTGGCTGCTGTTGCTTTGGAGAATCGTTGTACCGTGACTAGTGATTGGTACACGACCATTTGTTTGCTGGAAGTTATTGACAAACTCCGTAAAAATGACCGTAAACGCCGTATCATCATGCACCACGATAATGTCAGTTCTTACACGGCCAGACAGACAAATGAATTTTTGAAGGTGAACAACGTTGACCTTATGAGCCATCCCGCGTATAGTTCCGACCTGGCACCTTGTGACTTTTATTTATTTCCAAAAATTAAGAACTAGTTACGCGGTCAACGATTTTCATCACCTTAAGAGGCTGTCGAAGAGTATGAAAAATGTTTCAGAGATTGTCACGGAGGAGAGGCATAAATGTTTTCAAAATTGGTTCATTCGTATGAAAAAGTGCATTATCGCTAACAGAGAATATTATGAGAAACAATAAATTCATTTCTGATCATTTATAGTATTTTTTCTTATTCATTCCGGAAACTTATAGTGCGCCTCACGTATCTGTCTACTCCAGTGTGAGACAGGAGTGTGTGTGTAAATTGTAATATACTTTTCTTTCTTCTCCAGACGTACAGTCAAAGTCCCAAGCAGCAGAGCAAAGCGAACAGACGGGACAATCACAGAAGGTGTTCCCTATATTCAGCAAACCGAATCCTGGCATGCTAACCACACCCACCAGCAAAGGTAATAATTAAAAATCTTTTATTTACAATTTGGACTTAAGCCGGCTTGGTGGACATACTGACGTAAAAAAATACAGCTCTTGAAATAGACCGATTGATTTGACGACCTTCGTGGTCGAGTGGCTTGCACACCAGTTTTCCTGGTGTCGCTATCTCTGAGGTCCCGGGTTTGATCCCCGGTCGGGTCAATATAGAAAAACTAACTTTTGTATATTGACTCGGGTCTGGGTGTTTGTGGTACCGTCGTTGTTTCTGATTTCCATAACGCAAGTTTAGTGCTTTAGTTATTTACTCTGGGATCAGAGCATTTGGCATTTTCAGCAGTTGATTTATTTAATCGGCGCGTGGCGATAACTGCTTGAAGGCAGTGTGCAGTCGGTTTCAACTTTATGCTGTTGGTTTCGACTGCATGCAGTTGTACTTGTCGATTACGCGCATGCAGTCCGTCTAGTAGCAGCCTTACACACACACACACACACTCAACATAGCACCGCACTAGGGAAACCCTTTAACAAACCCGGTACCATGGACACACGCATAGACAACCACAAATTACACCCAAACTAACTAGAGAAATAAATGTCAGCCATAGAAAGCTTTCTTCCGGCCTGGGAATCGAACCAAGGACCTCTGCGTGGCAGTCCAGCATGGTAATCGTTCGGCCACAGAGATAGTTGAACAACAACAACGTTTTAGCAGTTTTTTGCATCTCTAGGTATAATATCTTGTTTTTTTTAGCACCCGCAGATAAAAACAAGAAGCTCATAAAGAGCGGTTACGACCAATACGTAATAGATGCCGGACAGAAGAGGTTCGGCGCTACACAGTGCAAGGAGTGCGGTGTTATCTACCAGATAGGCGATGCACAGGACGAACACGACCATCTTGTTCACCACAACGCTTCTGACGTACTCAAGTTCAATGTAAGTAACGCGCGTATACTCATCGTGTAGCGGCAGTAGAGATCCTTGTGAAAGGGTTCTCGTCCAGAGACGTAATGCCAATTGCTGCCGCCAAGCAGTAATATTAGCATTACTGCGTTGCAGTTTAGAAGGGTAAGGGTGCTGGTGAAATTACAGGCACATGGGACTTGTCAACTTATGTCTCTGCAGTGCCCCTCAGATCTTTGCGTATATAAGCTCTGAGTGGCAACGTAACAGTTATGGACAGGCAGACAAGGATGTAGCTTACCATCAGACGCACGACTTGTTCGTCCCGTCACTTGATATTATAAAAAAAGAAATGCCCCGCACTAGGGAAACCCTGTATCACGGGTGCCATGGACGCACACATAAATTACACCCAAACTCACGAGAGAAATAAATGTTGTCATACAAATATTTCTCCCGGCCCGAGAATCGAACCCGGCACCTCTACGTGGCAGTCCAGCATGGTAACCGTTCGGCCACAGAGGCAGTTTTAAAAGTACAATACATACTTGTTATTTACTTAGTTTTTTTTTAACTAAATAACAAGTATATATTTTTTTAAAGCCTATACTGTCCCACTGCTGGGGATCGATTCCAGTACCTTACGATAACTCAGTTGTCGTACGATGTCTTTTCATTTTTATTCACAATAACAGAATCAAACATCAAACTGTCGTATTCGAAACGGATCCCAAATGACGTCACACCCGTACGATTACTCGAACTTCTCCCCCCGGCAAAGGCTACAAATATAACTTCAGATTCAGAACAATTATCGAATGAAAGTTACCGAACGTCCTATTGTTTACAAAGCAAGAATGTGATATGGAAATTTCTTATTATTTTAAATGAAGTCTGGACTTTGTTCAATTTTTTTGATTTATTTTAGTGCAAGACTAATGCATTCCTTTATTTTAGGCCATTAAAGTCTTAAAAATGTTTATAAGCACCAAGTAACTCCGTAAACGCTCTTGGACAACGATATCGTTTCCGAATCCGCATCGAACGTTTAACTGAATGTACGAGCGACACTTAGTGCACAAGCGACATTCGAAGTGGGTTCGAATTTTCTAGATTTGTATAGCCTCGTATTCGCAATGAATACGAATCGTGCGCACTGGTCTTTTCCTGTCCTTTCTAATGTTATAACTGAATAGAAATAGAATTACTAGTTATTGATTCAAATGTATTTATTATCAACAGGGTCTAAAAGAAGAGTGCATAGTGGGCCGTTCGCACACTTACCGCTGCATCAGGATTCGTGGCGGCGAGGCCGGGTGGAAGAAGGTCGAGACTTTGCTGGAGAGAGTCGTGCACCCGCAGCTGGGATACGAAGGGCGGTTGCCAACTGACAAGCTGCAGTTGTACACTGTGAGTCACATACTTTAGTATTAAACTGGTTCGTTGTTATTACAAATGTATAAGAAGAGAGCATTATGCAACTGGTGATCGTACTCCTAACCAGTGTTGCCAACTAAACTAAAGCAAATGTCGCTAAACAGAAGGTTTAAAAGTCGCTAGTTGTCGCTAAAACTGTATTCCATATGAAAAATCAAATCTTATGACACTCATTATAGTTCATTTCATTGCCAAGAACGTTATAGTCATAACTAGCGTTACCAGGCGTTCTGAGAAAGTGGGACATGGTTAGGCTTTTTGGATACGTGTCCGGCTAAATTAAATAGTGGCGTTTGTTAGGCTTTTTACATTTGACCGGGCATGTGGTCGATCGTGCGAGTGAGGTGTCTCGACGCAGTAATAAATGATTAATATAAAGAAGACTGTTTTAATTTATTGTTATTTCATTAGAATTGTAAGAAGATTGTTTGATGATGAGAAAAGCCTAAAACCAAGCTTTAAAAAAATTATTAAAACCACGACACAAAATTCTAAATGTATTGTCCAGCCTTTTTATCTAAATGTTCGGGTGGCTGGAAGTAGAAACTGGCTGGCCTGTCCGGCTATTCGATTTAAAGACCTGGCAACCCTAGTTATAGCACGGACAAAACATCAATACACCTGAAATAACAAACAAATAATAATAACGCTCACACTCAACATAGCCCCGCACTAGGGAAACCCTGTGTCGCGGGTGCCATGGACACACACATAGACAACCACAAATTACACCCAAACTCACGAGAGAAACAAATGTAGGCCATACAAATATTTCTCCCAGCCCGGGAATCGAACCTGGGACCTCTGCGTGGCAGTCCGGCATGGTAACCGTTCGGCCACGGAGGCAGTTAAACTTACCATTGAGTAGCGCGTTCACAAAGACACCTGAAATAAAATGTTATTGTTAAAAGATGAAACCTGCCCGGCCTGCCCGGAAAGCAGTAGCATTGACAAATAACTTTATGAAAAATATATCAAGTTCTTAGGTTTTCGCCGTAGAGGGACAATAACCCTCTACGGTTTTCGCCATTGTTACACATAGGAAATGAAAAAAAAAACCAATTTTTATTTTTCGGATATGAATCGCATGTATTTGTTTTTTTTTCAAACATACCAAAGTTTCAGACCCATGATCACGATTGACTTGTGTCACGGTTTATTTGAAAAAAACATATATACGCGATTTAGACCCCGAAAAATAGATTCATTTCCTAAGTAATACATAAGCGAAAGAAAATAATTCCCGTGCCATCAGTGTCCAAGCGGAATAACAACATAATTTTGGCATTTTGAAAATATTTTTACTTCGTTAAAACTTTTTCTATCCTAGCGCGATCACCAGCTGAATAATAGTCCATCACATTTGTTACATCCGGTATATTGCTTGTGAAGATCATAGGGAAGTCGATAAATGTATAATTGAAAAAAAAAGTTTACAATTTTTTTATTGTACAGGCGTATTTATACGTGGACAAGCGGCAAATTGTAGGCTGCGTGATTGTTGAACTAAAGACGAAGGCATTCAAGCTCATGCCTGGTGATCCTGACTGTTGCAGCGTCGAGAGCTACCCTGTCAAGTAAGTTTGAATTGTTTTCATCATAATGATGTTTATCATGATGAAAGGCATATTGCGGGTCGTGTGATGGTAAAGCTGAAGACTTAAAGTAAACCTGGTGATCCTGATTGCATCACTGTCCAGTGGCACATTTGTGCCACTCAGAGCTTTAAATAGCAAATATTTTAGGGGTACTGCCATTGCGCCTGTCACACTGAAAATGAAACTATTTTTCCGGATTTAAAACGCGTATATTTGTTTTAATTTTTTTAAATTTGTTTAAATTGAGCTTAATAAAAATTCATTCAATAAAATAATTTGTAAAACTTAATGTAGCGTAAATTGGAATGTTTTCTTTGTAAAATTAAAAATAAGGTATTTAATTAATAACTGTTGTAACTATAGTGAAAAAATAGGGTGGTTTGCATCAATATTAGACATAACTGGTAGAAGACTGTACCACCTCAGTCAACCGTGACCATGGGACCTGTAAAGGGCCCGAAACGTCAGTTTGTTTGAAAAAACAAATATACGCGATTTAAATCCGGAAAAATAGTTTCATTTCCTATATGTTGATAAGTTACATGTGCCTGTAATTTCACACACTTTCAAAACCGAAACGCAGTAATGCTCATTACTGCTTGGCGGCAGAAATAGGTAAGGTGGCAGTACTTCTCTGGACGAACTCTTTCACAAGGAAGAGCTTGTTTCGTTTTCGGAAATTGCAGGCACATGCGTTGTTAATAGGGATGGGTATCGATGAATCGGAATAATCGAGGTTTTTTTAATCGATGTCATATTGTTCGATTAATCGCATAATGATTTCATACCGATTTTTGCTAAAAAAACAAAACAATATTTCATAAAAATATTTTATAAACATGTTAAAATTAAAAAAAAACCGCTTTTAAATCCAAATGTTCATTTTAATTTAGTCGATTTTCGAAAAAGACTTGCGCGCAATACCGTGGTACCAGAAAGATGGTTTACATAAGCTAATAAAATTTGTCTCCACCGCCTTTGAAAAATGTATAATTAATACTGGTGTCTGTATTGTTGTAATTTGAAATAGGCGGGAAATGAGGGTTATGTTCTTATGCACGCCGCCTGAGACGCCACCTGTGTTGCTCGAGGTTATTCTAGAAACCCTGGTACTATTAGCTTAAACTTAATGTAAATACACATATATATATATACCTACTTAGTTTTTTAAATTTTGAACTGATTTCGAATCAGGTAAACAAAGCATAATATTTTTTTCTATTCACCCAGGTGTGGCGTGTCCCGAATCTGGACGCACATAAACTACCGTCGCCGTGGGTTGGCTTCGCGCATGTTGGACTGCGTACGCGCATCTTTCCTCTACGGCTCTGCGCTATTGCCGCAAGATATCGCCTTCAGTGCACCCACCGCTGCAGGGAAAGCTTTGGCTGCTAAATACTGTGGTACTAGTAATTTTTTAGTTTATTTAGATTAAATTTCTTACGGTATAAGGGTCATGCTACATTTATCGCTTCTACTGCCGCCACAACTTTACATACCTAGTTAAAAATGTCACAATGCAGGTCGGCCATCTTTGATTTGAAACTACAGTCCTTTAAGTAGCCAAATCCGGTACCAAAAGTACTTTGGGTCATGTCAAAAAGACTGAAAACGCTGGTACAGTCAAAATAAAAGTATATCTAAAATTAGAAAATAACCCTGACTGAATGAATGACTTTTTTGTGGTTTTTGTGGCTTTTGTGGCGACGACGGTACAAAAGCGAAAACGGGATTGCATTATCTGAGATAAAAATAGAACATCTCTTCTAAATGATGTAAGTTTACTGTACTATTAAATATAATTGGTAGCTAGAAAGTTGACATAATAGTTGAACCTTAGGGTCAACCCAAACCGGCGGACGGGAAGGCAAAGGACACTACATTTATCAATGCATATTTTATGCTTTTACCTTAATAAGAAGACCCTTTGCACACTCCGTATTTTATACTCGCCAAGAACGCGCGTTTCAGAACACGCGTTTACGGCACCGTAGAAACTCAAAAAGCAGATTGTGATTCAAAGCGCATTAAATTCGGTACAAACGCGTGCGAGAAGCGCATATTCACGGCCACTGAATTTGTGAACGTGTGTTAAAGGTGTACTCGTTGCGACTGCATCGCATTTACGCGTGTCGTCGGCGCGTATAAAATACGCCGTGTGTCAATTGTGTATAAATTGCAAGTATATGTTGTGTATATGTAGTGGCTTATGCTTTTGGCACCGCCCTCGGAGCCTGCGTCTCAGAGTATTGAAATGTATTTATTGTAATAGTATAAAATATTCATTGATAAATTTTATGTCCTTTGCCTTTCCGTCCGCCAGTTTGCGCTGGCCCTAGTTTAACCCACATTTAATTTTATTTCTACAATCTTTTTTATATTTGGATGCTATTTTCGTGTATAAAGTTATTTAATTATTAATTTTTATTTATACATGAAAATAGCATCCAAATGTAAAATAATTATGTAATTTAGCATCATTTAAAGTAATATTGTAGAAAAATAATTAAATGTTAGTTACACCATTTTTGCGCTGATAGCCTCAATTGATATTGATTTCTTTTGCCTTTGTTTGAAAATTATAATGGTAAACACTTGTCTCGTACGTAGAACATTGTTTCGTGCTGATAAGCTTACCCTTCATGTATAGGTTTTCCTCAAGAGAATCTCACGGCTTCTATTCAGAAATTATTATTTTATTGCTGTAGAAATGCTTCTTAATACATTTCTCGGCAAATATCTTGAACATATCTTCTCCAGATAGAGCATGGTTGTATACAGGTGACAAGAATGTGCACCCGAAATATAATGGTGTGACTCTGCCAAAGCTATTGAAAAACTTTGCCTAAGTAACCCAGGTCCAACTAAGATCTTAATATAGACTTGAATGATTAATATAAATCGGGCGTTAAATTTGAAGACCTGTTGAGTGCCCGCAACTTGTATTAACAAGTTCCACGTCTATATATTTGTCTTATATATGTATACAATATTTTTTGTAGAGTTTTTTGCCGTACTTTACAATTGATTTTGTGATTTTAACTTAATTAAGTTTGACTACCTTTAATATTACGTTTTTTAAAAAAATCTCTAATGCTGTTTTGTATGCGATAGCCAAAACTACGTAAAGGGGTCATCAATATTCTACGTTAAGTCCTGCACACATTTTCTAAAATTTACAAACTGAATTTTACAACTAGCAACACAAACATAGCTATATAACTGTCACTTTTGGATGTAAACTTTAGGTAATAATGCAAAAAAATTTGTTTGTGTAACTTTTGTTCCAACACTAGAAGGCTAAAAGTAATTAGTCATCCTTTATTAATGTCCATTTAACCATCGAGTATATAACCAGAAATAGAGACGAAATGTCATTTAATTTGTTTGAAAAGTATTCTGCCAAATGTGATTATACAATACAATATGCTTTATTTCTCTCAATAAGGTTATAGTTACAGTGTATGAATACATTAAAAATACAATTATTAATTAATAAAAATAAAAATAACAATGTGATTCCGTTTGTTTTGTAATTAGATGTTTTGCTGTTTGAACAGCCCGCCATAGTTACATATATTATCTTTATTACAATAAACACAGAATATTTTTGGAATATACAGAGACGTACACACAGTTCAGTTGTGGCGCTGTACTATTTCAGTTGCCAGAAGTGGATGGCCCTTATTTCGTCTCTATTTCTGGTTATATACTCGATGATATAAACACTCATTTCCGATACATCGCACAGCCCAGTAGGACCCATTTTATGGACGACCTCTAACAAAAACTAGTGTCAATGTAAAAGTGCCTCAAAACTTAGATCTTAAGTGTATCACATAAGTACTATGTTTGTAAAAGTTTTAAACCTCTGATAGACGGTCGAGTTTCACCGCGAGTAAACTTGAGCAAATCATGTACACGATTGTGTTGCACTATTTATTGCGAAAGTTTATCTGTAAGCTCCACCGTGTAGTCGGACTATAAGTTTAGTTTCTTAATGTTTAGTATTGTGAGATTATTTTGACTAATTTTGACAGTGACCTTATATTTTAAGTGTTTTGTGTGATATGGCTTAGATGGTAAATTTATTTGTTTATTACACATTTGAATAATAATTTTCCTTTGCCCATGATTTCATTTTACTTGAGTTTTGCCCACAAACTTTTTTGTTGTTAACATTTACTTCGTATATATTTTTTTATAATATCAAGTGACGGGACGGACAACTCGTGCGCCTGATGTTAAGCTACACGCCTGTCCATAGCAGTTGCAGTGCCACTCAGAGCTTTAAATCGCAAAGATCTGAGGGACACTGCCACTGCACCCCCGTATCACCCTGACATAAGTTGACAAGTCCCATATGCCTGTAATTTCACCAGCAGACTTACCCTTCAAACCGGAACGCAGTAATGCTCCCATTACTTGGCGGCAGTAAGTAAGGCTCTACTGCTGTTGCTATTGTAAATATTATGTAATTTTTTTTGGATTAATAAAGACGCACCTTAATTTCGGAAACAAAATTCAATAAATATAAAATATACTTGTTCATTTTACAAGTAAATTTAAGAACAAACTCCCAAAAACATCGAAAAAATCTTTAGGTGCCATTTTCACAGAACTATATGATCAAGTTGGTTGTCACGTTAATGATTATCAGCATTCAATAATGATCCATTTACCCTCACCTGTGCACTGTTAAATTTTATTCCAGCGTCGTTTTTCCCCATGGGCAACTTTTTCCTCCACACAAAATTTTACCTGTACACATTTGGAACGGGACCAGTTGCGAGTAGGTTAAAAATAGCTCTCTAGTGTAGCCAAACTAATTACGCTTATATTATAATTATTTAATTTATTACTTTAAAGGTAATGCTTTAGTTGTATACGTGTTAATTTTTGTGTACAAATTACCTTGTAGAATAATTTATGGCAATATTACTTGCACACTTTATGGAGTGTTTTCATCATCACCAGATTATCGTCTGCAGTACATAGGGTTGAACACCACTTGTCAGCACGCGTCAACACAGCGTCCATATTACACGCGTTAGAAACGCTTACTCCATATAAAACAGATGCTGACGAATGGATTCCAACCCTCAAGCCTCTTTCAAGTTGCGCCACCATCCAGTAGCTCTACCTAGTGAATATTGTTGCCTTATCACAAACAGTGATCACAAAATAAAAAAATATTTTTAAAAAACATTTTTTTTGCTCAATTTGTAGTAAGTTTCAGAATAAAATAAATGTATGTATTTTTTACATTTTGTAACATGTTTTCAGTGAGAATGTATTGTTTTGGTTTGCATTGTCTCAATTTTGTTGGATGGTGATTTTGAAATGTATGCAGCAAAGTTTGCCTATTGAAAAGGATTGGTCCAAAGATATTGTACCTTAAATTGCCATATAGTGTACATATTAATTTATTTTCAAAACTTCATTTGTAAAGACGACAAGATTTGGAGCGCCCATGTTGCTGAATTTTAAAGAACTAGTTTTTTTTCACAACTATCACGAAGCGCCAACATTTCAGGGTCAGTTTTCAATATTTAATTACAATTAACTACTTAACGTTTAAAATAAGTCTTAATTTTTTAGTACTTTGTTGTCAATTTTATAAAATTGCATTTAGATTTGAATGATGTTTTGCACGATGATTGTGCGCATTTCATTTTATAATAAAATGATTTATTAATAAAATGTTTGTTTTTTTTCTATTTTGAGTTTTGTATAAACTGAACCTTATTCCAGGTTATCCATTTAAAAATTTATTAGTGACGTAAAATGTAATTTTTTTCATCACTATACGAAAAAAAAATTATGGTTCATACAGATTGCTCTATTTTTGACGATCGACAGGTGTCGATTAGAAATACCATATCGAGCGAATGTCGACTCACATATTTACTCGATTTTGTCTGATCCCAAGTGTTGATACACCAAAAATGCGACCTTCGATCATCGGTTGCTTACTTAGTAAAGTAACTTAGTAAAGTAAGCAACCGATTTGTTGTTTGGTTTGTTTGATCACACGTGTCGATTGTCAACTACTGGGAATAAAAGTTTGATATTTCAAGGTTGACTATTTTTTTTTTAATAAAGACGAAATTTATTGAGATTTATGATGAGATTTAGATATATTTACATTTGATTGAAAAGCGATATCTGCGTTGTGATGCCTGTAAAGGTATCGGCTGCGATGCGAAGGTAAATAAAAAGTCTCGCTAGATGGCACTAGCGGCGACGAATGCCGAAAGTCGGTACAAAGATCTATAACAAAAACACAGGAGAATTTCGACGACTCGTAACTGGACCCGTGGCTCAGATGGTAAGAGCAATGTTACGGTGGAGCAAGGACGTGGGTTCTAAGTCCCACCGGGTTCACGAGAAAAAAAAGGGAAAGTTCTGTGTGTTCGATCTTTGTATCTTACCGCATAAATATTCGTTTTGATTGTGAAATCAAAACGAATATTTATGCGGTAAGATACAATTTGAGGTACGTGTTTGACCTATAAATAAAAGATTCTCAATTTTAAAACAACATTTATTTTTACATACATTAAGTCGGATTCAAAATGCCTGAAACATACTGATTTTTGTACACATCAGTTATTATAGATTTATTAATTTCATGGACAGTAAAATTATACATTTCTGCGCGAGTGAAACGATTGAAATTAAGCTTTTACTCAATACCACCTCGCAGTACACTACTATACACATAAATATTAAAAATTTCATTTTTAATCTTTAGGAATTTCATTAATTAGGTATATTCTTTTTAAATTAAATTTGTTAAAAATATAGATTTTTTCAGTATAATTT